AGGGTGAGGGACAAAGAGGCAAATGCACATTGAGGATTTCTTTTCAATAAAGATAGGGAATATGAGCAATGTTGCACATGAGCGACAGCTTGTCTGGAATACCACACACAATTCTGAATTTTTTCAAGAAAAATAAGTTTGAATTACAAGAACTACAGAGGGAACCTATGATATGACTAAAAAGCCTGTTTAAAAAAGAAAAACTGATCTTCCTTATTCAGCTTAGCAAAACTGGGATGAAGATAATATAAAGATTCATTAAAAGGATAAACATCGGCAGGAAAGTGATGCCAACATAATATCTCAGTTTAACTTCAACTGATGAGAATAAGCAAAAAAAAAAGAGTAAAATTTATAGTGCTATTCCAGAATCCAAGTTTTGTTCTGGATATGGAAAACTCCAAACATTAAATTGCCAAAAGTAAAAGATGCAGAAAAACCAACCTGCTTTTAAGAAAAAAACATAGTATTTCCAATATATGATGCACCTGACATGTTAACAAGGGACACACTGAGTTTCACTCCGTTTCCATTCTGATGCAATGATGTGTCATTAAAAAAAAAAAAATCATGAATACTATTAGCAGAATAGATTTATTCCTGACAAAACAGCAAACAGTAGAGAGCCCAGAAAAATCAGAGAGCCAATGCAACAAATGAGGAAAAAAGAAAACCAAGAAACTCAAGTACTCTGGAAAACCTAAAACAACCAGTAATGGTTCCTCTTCTGGATCAAGAAGTGCTCAGTCTGCCATGACATTGTGTGAAGATCAGAACACTTTCAAAGCCAGAAAAAAGTGCACACAGAAAAAAAATCAAAAGAATATAGAAACACCTCCCACAAACTCTCATTTGTGCATATAGGGAGTACAAAAGGAAGATGGAGGGAAATTTTCTGTACCTTTTTTTTAATTGATAATGGCATGGCCTGAAGTTTTAAATAATAGGTCAAGGAGAATCAAGCAACCTTGTATGTTGTCTTCCAATAAATTATTTTCTCTCAGTGTATTTCCAGTGTACTGTTTATTACAAACCATATCACTGTATTTTCCTTCTGTATAATGAAAGCAGCATAAATGACAAGACAATATGAATAAAAAGACAGATTTCTGAACATGCCTGGGAACTACCTATATTTTAATTACTTTTCCACATTTTATAGTTGCCCTGTTTGACTTCAACAAGACTACACCAATGCAGCAGTCAGGACAAGAACACTACAAGTTTTTTTATATATTTTTGACTTGACTATTTCAGACTCTTGCAAATAACCACTAATTTATGTTGAAGTACATTCAGAATTCCATTTGCCCTTCAAGAAGGTTATGTGGCATTACCACAATGTAGCTCAGCTCCCTGACTTAAATCTCAAAAAAGCACAGATATTAGATACTACTGTTCTCCTGCTTTGCCTCCTTAAAAAAAAAAAAAAAAAAAAAACAACCAACAAAAAAAAACCACCCGCATGTTATTAAGAGAAAGTTTACATAAAAGGGATATGCCACTTTATAATCAGAAGGAGCATACAACACAACGAAACCCGGTGGATTTGGCACAGAAACTTTCCAATCAGTCTAAAAAGGACTTCCAGCTGTAGAAAACATAGAATTGTCTGGATGTTAGGGAACTGAAAATTGCCAAAAGCTGCCAGAATATTTACACCAACAAGGTAAAATAGTGTGAAGTATCACAAACCTCTAAACCACAGCAATTAAGCTACACAAGGCAAGTGTTCTTATTTCCCTACTTCAACATCTTCTCACACCTCTAAGAAGAAATAGGAAGTTTAGTCTGTTTGGTCTAATCTTTCTCCTGCTTCTCTTGAGCATCAAATGCAAGAACAAAACTGAAACTGGAATGTTCACAACCATCCCAGCCCACTCCCAAAGCTGCATGCTGATCTCCCAATTTGCCAGAATTCCCAGAACATCATTTCTTTGTATGCCTTGTACGGCAGTAAGTGGTGTAGACTTGAAGGACATACGCTAATGTAGCTGAACACACTGGACCACTGCACAGCTTCCAGAACCTCACCGCTCTGTTCTCATTTGCACAAGAACACTGAATCTATGCAAACATTTCAAGCATTCAGATTCTTTGATCCCACAGGAAAATCCTTTAAAAACTCAGCTTCTGGTTTAAGGAAATTCAAATAGCTTCCAACTCATTAGCTGCATGACATACACCCAACTTTTGTACACTTCAGCTACTGACATTTGTATCCTACACTATCCATACCTGGAAAACATGGCAAATTGGCCTTCACTAATTCCTGTGTTTGTTTAAAAGCCAAATATGACCTTTTTTGTGTCATTTATATATCAGTAAGAGTTTATCAATCACCAAAGGCAGCTGCATGTTACAACTGCAGCCTCCTACTGTTCAATCCTAAATCCTGCCCTATTCCATACAATAACTTGTTTAAAAACACCGCTCTTCAGTTTAGCAGTCACTGCTCAGCACACATGAAAAGATAATTAAGGTAATAATAATTAAGAGATTGAAGTATATTTAGAAAAAACATGAGGAGAAACTGGCAGAGCATGATTCCAAATCAGCTGATTCACTACTCCAATATACTCCAATACTCTCAGGCTGTAAAATTCAAATTTCCTGGGACACACAGGAATGTGACAGGAAGGCACACTGCACCTGAATGCTAGTTGAGATAAACAGGAGATGGGGTAGGATAGCATGTATGGATTACAAAACATCTTCGTTAAGATTTCTTTTCCTGTCTAAAGAAACATTCCTTTTCAGTAATTCCCCAGAAAGCTTCAAGGAAAGAAACCTCAAAAACGTGGGCAGGGCAGAGTCACTATTTTCTTCCAAAGAAATTTCCAAGCTGTACTGTACAGCTCTTGCCACTGGAGGAAAAGAGGCGAAATTCTACAGGGCGTGGATTTCTGACCTCCTGTTATAGGCATTCACCAAAACTGCTGTTATGCAAACTACACCACAATAAAGCTAACTAAATCCTGAGCCTTTCTAGGTGCTCAGAGACTTGTCAAAATCCATCGAAGTTCCTTAAAATAATCTGACAAACCCCATACTTGCATGACATAACTTGAGGATTTCTTGTAACATACATCAGAATTGTAAAAACACAGTAAAACACCTGAAGCCGAGTATCCCTGAGCGTGATACTCATTTGTCTCTCTACAACAATATTAAAACAATTAACAATACTAAAATTCTTCAAGTTAAGACTATGTGAAACTATCTAAATCTGTTCATCATGCACTCTGGTACAGAAAAAAACCCCAAAGTCAAATGGCTATTCTCTGACACATCAAGGAAAAAATAAATGCTGTAGTGCCAAAAGTTTCTAAAAATTATCTCAAAGCTCGCAGTGAAAACGTCAGCAAAAATTTTACTGACGTAAACATTTTACTGATATAACTTAAGCTCATTAAAAGGCTGATCTCAAGGAATAAGGTGCGTGCCACCTGTGCAAAGATGTGGCCAATGTACAGGCATAATAAACACTTATTCCTGTTCAAAGTAACTCTTCAGTTCATTGAACATGATCTCTCCCCCAACAATTATTTTGGTCTTTATTATAGCAAAAGGAGAAAATTGGAAGCATGTAGGGCATTACTCAGAAATAAGTGCACGAAGTGGTTCTTATCCCAAAGATCTCTCGTGTGCCTGTTTATCTACGTTTTTCTGGTTTGCTTCCAAAAACCATCGAAGCCAAGTAAACAAACAGCCTGTGACTATCTAGGTCTCCTCAGAACGCAAAGCTTAACTTACCAAACACATTTAGAAATATTTAATAAAAGTTAACTGGTGGAAGACCAAATTGGCTGTCAAAGCAAACTGCCAGCAGCACCATCACCGTTTCACACACAAATGTGAAGCTCTCAATAACTTACCAATGCTCAGGTTACCTTGTATTAAAGCAGAACTTTCCTCTGAGGAACACACAGCAGTCAAAAGCTCATTTCTGTCGCTACAGGTAGGGGTATCACCCTTTTCTTTCCTTATATTCGCCGACCCTTACAGCCGAATCACTCTAACCAGCACTTCTCACCTTGGCAAAACAACCCCTGGGGGCGCATCCTAAATTCTTTCGGCCTGAACTTTTCCCTTCTCTCTACGGCCTGGCGTAGGAAAAGGGCGAACGTCACTTAGGGCAGGAGTTAGGGAGCGATGCTCAAAGCCAGCACTGCTCCAGAGAGCCCCTTTTCCGGCGGCGCCGGGATTCCAAAGAGAGCCTTTTGGCGGAGGAACGCGCCTTTCGCTACCACCTCAGTGCGAGCGCCCCGGCCTGGCACCGCGCCCTGCGCGCCCCGGTGCCGCTCCGGCCCCTCCGCCCGGCCCCCGTTCTGCCCCTCCCCCCCCCCCGCCAGGCGCGGGGCGAGGCCCGCTGCCCGCCGCGGGGCAGCCTGCCGGGGCTACCCGCTCCCCGCCCGACGGGTCGCTCCGCCCCCGGGGTGTCCCTCGCGGCCCCGGCGGGGTCTCGCTCCCGCGACCGCCCCTCACCCGTGGGCGCCGCTCCCTCCGCCCCGCTCGCAGGGCCGCGGTGTCGGCCCAGCTGCCTCCGAGCGCTTCCGCCCGGGTCACGGGCCGCTTCCGGCCCCCCCGCGCCCAGCCCGTGCGGCGCCCGTGCTCCCGGCATGCTGCGCGCGGAGCGGTGCATGCTGGGGCGCGTAGTTCCCGGGGCATGCGGGCCCGCCATGTCAGGGTTCTGGGGCCGACAGCGGCTGAACATGAGCGAATGCGCGCCCGGCTGGCCAGGAAGGCCAGTGGCATCTTGGCTTGTATGGAGAATAGTGTGGCCAGCAGGATCAGGGGGTGATGTGCTCAGCGCACCTCGAGTCCTGTGTTTAGTTCTGGGCCTCTCAATTAATGCACAACATCGAGGTGCTGGACGCTGTCCAGAGGAGGGAAACGAAGCTGGGTAAAGGTTCTGCCGCACGAGTTTTATGAGGAGCACCTGAGGGAGCTGGGATAATTTAGCCTGGAGAAGAGAAGGCTCAGTGAAAGCCTTATGGCTCTCTGCAACTATCTGGAAGGAGATTCATAGGTGGGGTCAGGCTCTTCTCCCAGGCAGCTGGCGAGAGGACACGAAGCAATGGCCTCAAGCTGTGTCAGGGGAGGTTCAGGTTGGGCATCAGGAGGAATTTCTTCACAGAAAGAATGTTCGACATTGGAATGGACTGCCCTGAGAGGTGGTGGAGTCACCATCTCTGGGGGGAGTTTAAGGGATGGTTTGATGTGGCGGTTAATGCCATGGTCACATTGACGCGGTGGTGTTGGCCACAGGTTGGACCCGATGCGTTCACAAGTGTTTTCCAGCCCGACAGATTCCAGCATTCTGCGGCTGAGCGGCGTACGGGAGATGCCGGCGGGGGCGCTGCGGAGCCGGCCGGAGCTTTCCTACGGGCGGAACCAAAGCGCGGCGTGGCGGCGGCGCGCCGGGGGCTGTCGGTGTGGCACCGCACGCCGTGTCTCCGGTGCGGCCGCGGCCCCGCCATGCTCCCGCTGCTGCTGCTCCGCGCCTCCGCCGCCTGCAGCCGCGCCTCCGCCTCCGCATGGCTGCGGGGCGCCGCGCAGCCCGCCTGCCGCCACCGCGCCGCTGTGGCCGCTGCGAGGCCCCGACAGGTTCTGTGTGGGGACTGTGCGGGGGCTGTGGGAGCGGGGGGAGCGTTCCCGCCCCCCGGGGAAAGGGCGGCGGCCCTGGGATTAGCGGATTTGCCTTTAGGGGATTTTGAGGAGTAAAATGAGGTGCTCCTCGGGGCGTACCTCCTCTGATGCGCTCAGGTGAGACCTCACCGGAGTGCTTTGTCCAGCTCCGGGGCCCCATCGACCTGCTGGAGCGAGCCAGAGGAGGCCACCAAAATGACTGGAGGCATGTAGCACCTCTCCTAGGGTGAATGGTGGGGACAATTGAATTTGTTCTGCCTGGAGAAGATACGGCTTCGGGATGATCTAATTGTGGCCTTCCAATACCTGAAGGGAGCCTCCAAGAAAGTCCTGTAGGGAAAAGGGTCTTTTTAAAAGGGCATGAAGTGCCAGGACAATGGGAAATGTATTAAAACTGACAGTATGTTTAGCTAATCTAAAGGAAGCTATTTAGTTAATCTAAGATATTAGGGGGAAAAAAATCCTTTTCTGTGAGAGTGGTGAGGCACTGGAATAGGTTGCCTAGAGAAGCTGTGGATGCCCCAACCCTCAAGGTGCTTAAGGCCAGCCTGGATGGAAAGCCGTGATGCAAACTGGTGTAGTGGAAGGTGTCCCTACCCATAACAGGCCTGTTGGAACTGGATCATCTTTAAGGCCCAGTTCAACCCAGGCCATTCTGTTATTTTATGATCAGACAGTGATATGATGAGCACAGAATGTCTCTCTGCAAAGCTGTGTGTGAATCGATTGCTACCTCAATTATCAGTAATGGAGTTGCAAATATTTCTTGCTAATTTGGGATATTTACATGGTAAAACAGTCAGACAGCATATTAGTTGGAGCTTTTGACATGCTTTGAAGTGTAACCAAACTTTAATCCTTAGTTTGAAATGCTGGGAGTAGGTTCAGGGCAAGGAGAAACTTTGAGTGTATACGTGTACATATATGTGTGTATGTGCATGGACAGGTAGATATAAGGTGTAATCCTGATGTTCCTTAGCCTTGTACTGGTTTCATCTTTCAGGTTGCATCTCTTCAAGGAGTGGCTGTTCGCAGCCTCAGCACATCCTCCCCTCATGATCACCCAGAACACGGAAGATTAGTTTATAAAGGAAATTTGGCAAAGACAGTGTTGGGTATGTGACTCAAAGTGGTTTATATTGCCTTTTTTTTTGTTGTTGTACTTTTAACAGTATTTAGTAACTTTAAAATGAAACATTAAAAGTGAGTGTTCTCCTTTCCAAGTTTGCCCAAATCTGGATTGTATGTACAAAAAACGGCGGTAGTGGTGGTGCTTGGTTTCTGCTTCTCTGCTTGGGTGTGCAGGGAGCTCTGTTCATCTCTGTCACCCCTTAGCCTTCTTTGGCTTCTCTTGAGGCCCTTGGGGTGCCTTATCCAACCCAGTAAGCAACAAAGATGAGCTATAACTGCTGTTTACATTCTGTGTGCTTGAAGTGCTCCTGAAATGCTTCCCAGGCAGGCAGGTATTATGATGAAGAGCTCCATCTCTAATGTGACTTTGCAATGCTTTCTTTGGGCAGTGAATATTACAAAGACCTAGTGAAAGGCAAAGCCATTGGATGTTTTCTGATACACGTCTTCGAAATGTGTCCTAACATACTTATTGAACTGTGGGTAGTCCACAGCACTGGGTGCTGTCTTTCAAGCCACATGGAAAATGGGTGGGGAGTACTTGTTAATATTTATTAACCCAGGGTTTGTGCATGGCAGCCAAGCTGGCTTCTTTGTAATGTACACTGAATGTCAACATTAGTTGTTGATGAGGACAGAAATTCTGTGTCTTCCATCTCTTCAATGAGCACCATTACACGTGTCCATGAATGGAGTCAAGTCTCGTTAGAAATCAGTTCTTCTGCCTGTGAAGGCAGAAAAAAATTTCATATGTGTGCATGACAGCTAATAGCTGACTGCATCACAGAAATAGAGCCAGCTTTGATAAACCCAGCATGAAGGTGCAAACAAATCAGAACAATGGCAACATGGCGGATTGAGCTTTCAATGGTTTCTCCATAAACTTAAAAAAATAGGGAAAGGGGTTTTCAGTAACTTCATCAGTTCAAGTAATGGCATTGTTATGTGGTAGAAAAATATAGGTAATTGTAGAGAAAAGTTTGATCGTAAGTGTTAACCTTTATTTTCTTTGATTTCTTTTATGTAGGTGTGAAGTTCTTCTCTTACTCCACCAGCATATTCAACCTGTTCATGATGCCCTACATCATGCTCAAAAGTGGTATTGGAGTGGAAAGTTTGCTTGTCCAAGCTGCCTTTTATGGGTTGATCGGGATTTTTACGTTTGTAACTCCGGTTACTTTGCATCTCCTTACAAAAGGTTACGTGATCCGGCTCTATTACAAAGATGAAGTGGACACCTATACAGCCATTACCTACAATGCCATCTTGACAGAAAAAGCAACTGTTTTCCATCAGAAAGATGTAAAGATTCCAGACATCTCCAAGATGTTTACAACATTTTACGCTAAAACAAAGTCAATGCTTGTTAATCCTACACTCTTCCCAAATCCTCAGGATTATAACCATCTCATGGGCTATGACAAATCCTCATTTTTTAAATTTGAGGATTTAGAGGCAGTAAAGGAAGCTGATGAAAGGAAATAATTTGAAGATAATGTCAGTGTCATTGTCCATAATGCAGTACTATATATGTGAGAGAATGTAAAAATCTATTACATTTGCTTAAGTATCAGGTAGCTGGAGTTTTCCATATGCATTTTGGAATGTATAAAAAGAGACACTTAAAAAAATATTGCAAACAATGTGAGGATTTCTTTAGAGTTAATGACATAAAACATAGTAAAAAAAAGGAGATGCTTAGTCCTGTCTTTTTCTTTTTTATTCTTGGTTTGATTGTTGGTGTTAGCTCTCCAGAGAACTATAAAATGCATGAGCTGTCTGGCAGTCTCACCACCTCTGTGTCAAAAGACACTCATTTCCTATCAAGTATGTAGTTAAGATGTTAAGCCTTAAATATTAATTGTACTTAATCTAAAAATACCAGGCTTTTTGTTGCTGCTGGTGATGGTATAAAGGGAGTGATCGTGGCTTTCCCTTCCCTTTGTGAGACCACCGGTAGCCAGGAGCAGTCTCTGGAAAGCAGACAGATATTCTTGTGAATTCCTGCTACAACTCCCTCCCAGAGGAGAGAAGAACATGGAGAGAATTGCTGTGTATATATAAAGCAGTAAGTTCTAGCTACTCAAAGGTAGTCTCAGGTAAACTAAAGTCCCACTCCGAGCAACCCTGTCCCCAAAGGTGGAGAGCAAAAAGCTTCTCTTCTTGGGCACAGGAAAGCACCGTGATACAAGATTTGCTCTGTGACCATCCCACTGACAAGAGGTGCTGTATTTGAATCAACCAAGAAAATTCTAGCAGTTAGTGGTTAAAATGGATTCTGTTAGAATTTGTGTAAGGTGGGGAAGCAATTGTGCCTTTAAAGAACGCACCTCTTGATTCTCAGCACTGTGAAGAAAGCCACCTTTTGCTCAGCTTGAAAAGGGGAATCTGGTCTTTTTGTAGTACTAGACTGGTTCTTCTCCCTTGAGTGTGTAGAAGTTGGATTTAAATTTTTTAGCTGAAGGTGCATAAACTGGCAAATACTAGTTTTCAAAGAATGAAGGGCCTAAATATTTTGAGACATAAAAGTTACTGAATTGAAAAAACCCCCCAAATTAATCCTTTTGTTTTAATAGTGCCCTTTGTAATAAAAAAGTCTGATACTTGCTGCTAGTCATCCTGATCCTGCAAATAAAAAATTATAGCTAACTTTCAAGCTGTTTCCTAAGTTGTGGCTGAAGAACTGTATTTAAAAGTCTAAATGTCTTCCGGTACTATTATTTCAATTTCCTTTTGTAGGATGACACCACACATGATATTAAACAAGGGTTTTGAATGTTGCTTTTCTGACTGCCCTCAATGTACTCGCTTAGTAATTAAAAAGCAAATCGTCCCATCCCAATATTTTTGAGGCAGGTTTTTTGTATTGGCACAACTATAATTTTAAAAGGGTGATAAGGTCTTGTTAAGCCAGTATCATTCCATGGGTAGCAATAATATATAAATAAAGTTGTCATAAAATTATATTGAACATGTGGGGTTCAAGTTACATTGAACAAGCAATTCTGGTCACCTGGTTGTACTACTTGTCCTCATTGAAACAATGTTTTACACTTAGTTAAAAGTAATCTTTGATGCGTTCAATCACTTTTGGTGCTTGCATTGAAAGATGAGGTTGACTTGATCTTCCAATGACAAATCCAGGGAGAACAGGAAATAGAGTTTGCTGGAGAAGGGAAAGGAAAGGCCCCAAAATTATATTTATGTACTCCATAGGCAATATTAAAATCCTCATTTTTTCCTTCTGACTGCAAAAAGTTTTCCTCTCTAAATTTGAGATTTGGCCAATTCAGAATTAAGCAGCAACAGTAAGATATCTCCATACCAGTGGCTAAATTTCTGTCTATGGAAGAGAAATATTATTCTGCTCATGTTCTGATAGTGAAAAGCAAGTGAAGCTAGTAGGTGGCTTTCTGACATACAGACGATTAAAAATAATATTAAAGAATCCAGAATTCTGCCAGAAGATAGGTGATGATTCTGGCTGGGATGTAGTCTCAGAAAAAATACTTAATACTTCTAATGTGCAACTTGAAAATAATAGGATAGTATACTTTTATATCAGGAAAAAGAAGACCAGACTTACTGAAGATACTCAACATTTTACTCGGTTTTGCTTTGTTTGCTGCTACACTTAGATTGTGTACTTGGAATTGTAGGACCATTTAGGTTGGAAAGGACCTCCAAGATCATTAATTCTAACCACTAAGCCAGCACTGCCAAGTCCACCACTAAACCATGTCCTTAAGTACCACATTTATGTATCCTTTAGATGCCTTCTGGCATGGTGACTCAACCACTTCCCCAGGGAGCCATGCCAGTGGTTAACAGCCCTTTCAGTGAAGAAATCTTTCCTAATATCCAGGCTGAACATCCCCTGGTGCAACTTGAGGCTGTTTCTCCTCTTGTCTTATTGCTTGTTACTTGGGAGAAGAGGCAGATCCCCACCTTGGTACACCCTGCTTTCAGGTTGTAGAGACTGGTAAGATCACTCCTGAGCCTCCTTTTCTCCAGACTGAACAACCCCAGTTTCCCCAGCTGTTTGTTCCTCATAAGACTTGTGCTCCAGACCCTTCACCAGCTTCACTGCCCTTCTCTGGACACACTCAGCACCCCAAAGTCCTGTGTGTTGTGAGGGGCCCAAAAATGAACACAGAACTTGAGTATACTTCCACATATGTGACTGGTTTAGATCCCTCTAATTGTTGAGAGCAATTATTCACATTAGAATCAAAATAAAGGAATTGAATTGTAATCCAAAAAGACTTCCAAGATGTGTTTCTTCTTTGTTCTGGGTTCTGAGCAATCTGTCTTAAGATATTTTTTAGTGCATTGTGTGCATTTCCAGGTGGGAAGCTCTGAAATGCTCGGTGTCTTTCTACGGTAGAAAATGTGCATAAATCAGAACAGGCCCTCTTGCTACTAACAAATCAGGCAAGAGAATCGACTGTGGTGTAAGTGTTTCAATAAACAAATTACTACCAGATAATTCCCAAAGTCTGTTAGCTCCATCTCTGTTTAACAACCCTATTAATTATGTAAATTACTATTTTCTTCTAGTGTATTTTTCTTCCATTTCATACACTTGGTGAAAACAAGTACTAAGTGCAGAAGTATTACTGCTTGCTAACATTTTCATCCCTGGAAGTTGCTGATATTTCTTTGCGTGTAGGTAACTTGTACAAGATATGGAAGAAACTATTTATGAGATCTAAAGAATGTGCTTGTACATGTGGAGGTTCTGAAGGAAGTACTGATGTAGGAGCCCAGTTTTCTGAAATAAGTGATTTACAAACTGTTTGCAAGGCAATGCCTACAGTGAAGGCTGACAGCTCCAGCAGCCTTTTCAGGACCAACCAATCACTTGTGCATAGCAGCTGGACACATCTTACCCTGGTCCCAGTTTCACTGGATCTGTTATGAAGAGCAGGAATGCGTCAATGTGTATCAGCAATAGTGTGGCCAGCAGGACCAGGGCAGTGATTGTCCCCCTTTACTCGGTGCTGGTGAGGCCACACCTCGTGTACTGTGTTCAGTTTTGGGCCCCTTAATTCAGGGAGGACATAAAGGTGCTGGAGTGTATACAGAGAAGAGCAATGAAGATGTTGAAGGGTCTAGAGGGTAAGTCCTGAGAGGAGCAGCTGAAGGAGCTGCAATGGTTTAGCCTGGAGAAAAGGAGGCTTGGGAGGACCTTTTCTGAGAGGAGCTTGTAGCGAGAAGGGGGTCGCTGATCTCCCAGGCAACCGGCAACAGGATGAGAGGAAATGTCCACAAGCTGTGCCAGGGGAGGCTCAGGTTCCATTTCAGGTGGAATTTCTTCACAGAAAGGTTGATTAAAATTTGGAACAGGCTGCCCAGATCATAGGTCTAACCCATGACTAAACACCACTATGCCAATGACACCAGGGCATTGAGTGCCATGTCCAGTCTTTCCTTGAACAACTCCATCTGTGAGGTTAGTTCTGTGTGTTTTGGTCCTTTGCACTGTACCTCATTTCCTCCCAGACCATTTGCTCGTAGTCACTAAATTTCCCAATTTTCTTTTTTTTTTTTTTCTTCAATTGCATTTCATTTCACCGTATCTCCTTTCCAGAATGTTTGTAGGTCATTCTTTTCTGTTTCACAAGATTTAGTTTCCCTTCACAAAAGGAAATTCCAATTCCACGAAATCTTACAAAACAAAAAAGAATGATTTACAAACACTCTGGAAAGGACATACCATCAAATGAAATGCAATTGAAGAAAAAAACAACAAACCAGAAAATTGCGACATTTAGTGACTACAAGCAAATGGACTGGGATTATACAATTATACAAGGTGCAGTGCAAAGGACCAAAACATGCAAACTAACATCACAGATGCTGCCAAAGCAGGGGAAAAAATCAAGGAGGAAGACAGAACTTTGAGGGGAAGATATGAGAGCCATGGCATGGATACTAAAAAAAAAATAAAAATTTGCCAAAGTGAAAGTCATCAAAAGGCATGGGATGCCATCAAGTGCATACAATTATACAAGGTGCAGTGCAAAGGACCAAAAAGTCATCAAAAGGCATGGGATGCCATCAAGTGCAGGGACATGGACCAAAACTTGCCCAACTGATCCCCATTGAAATTGCAAGCGTTCTTTTCCTTTCCCAAAAGGAGGTGTTCAAGGAAACACCTTTTATATGTTGGACTCTGATTTCACAGGTCTTTTCCAACGTAGCTAATTCTGTTATTCTGTAGGAAATTACTGAAGCCTCCTTCCTAGACATATTCTTCCTATCCCTTTCCAGCCTGAAATGCTTCCAGAAAAGGTAATAGATGACTGTTTTTCTTTTTATCTTTTCCCTTTGAATAACAGTCAGGATATATGCAAATCTTTCTTTTCAGACTTACTACATGCTATTTTCTTGCTGGTGAAAAAAAACTTTCTCAAGTTTTTTGTTTTGGCCACATTATTATTCATTACTTCATATTTGTTCTTAATTATAAAGTACAGAGTTGCTTGTCATTTCTTGAAGTTATTTTTAAAATTAAATTATCCCACAACCCTCATTTTTTTCATGCAAATATAAAAATTTTTGATGAGAAAATGATCCCTTTTTGGTACTTCAAAGAGAAATCTTTTAAGCTGTGAGGTACTTCATGCTCTTAACCACACTCTGTAGAATTACTAGTTAATTAATTTGACTGGACCTTGCTATATTACATACCAAAGTCATCATATTGGCAAAGATGAAGAAAATCTGTAAATTTTTTCATGGAACCAGGAAGGCTTGATTTAGGTGATGGAAACTTCATGAAAGTCTTTTTGTGCTGTAAAAATTAAGAGCAGACGTGAATTATTACAACTGCTCAACGTAACTTAATAGGGTGGAAACTTGGTAAACTGCTGTAATTTTGTTGCTCTGGAGTTCTGTGGCCATACCACAGATTTCTTCATGTCTCATACCACGGATTTCTTCATTCCCCAGTGTACAGCATGGCCTGCTGCAGCCTGCATGAGAAATGGGACAAGTGTGCTTAGCTGTGAGTTGGATCCACTATAATAAGATTATCCCAGAGCTACACAGACCTCAGCAAGCAGCTATTTTAAGCAGGGAATAGCAGAGAACAAGAGCAAACAGCCGCAAAATATGTCCAGCTGTCTCCCTTTCTAGAATTCCAGCATGGAAAGTGTTGCTGTGGTGTGCATACTGTGAGCCTCAGGTAGGACATCCCCTTTTCTTATCCCTTCATCCTCTTCTTTCTCTTCTTTTTGGCAATTTTAATAGCTTAATGAATACTTCAGGGTACAACTGTAAAAGTTTTAGTCCTAAACTTGGCTTGCAGAGAATAAACCGTAAGGCTACTGGCAAGAGGCAGGGAGTTATTTCCAACATAATAGTTTGCACAGGAAAACCATACCACCTGGTATGTGTTTGCTACATTTGAATAGTCTCCAGTGGTTTAATGGGATATATTCAAATCAAACCACTAAGCCAAAGTTCATACAGATTTAACAAAACATGTACAGCGTAATGCACAGCACTTTTTGTATATTTCAAAAACTCTTTGGTTTCTTACTCAAATGCTACCAATGCACCACTGGATATGTGCCAGTGCCCTGCTTTTGGTCTGGACTCTCATGGCACTCTCAAGCATTTAATCAGTTGCCTATAGAGGAAATGAATCCTCTACCTTGTTATTGTATCCCTGGGCATGACTTTCTACTTCCACTATAAACATTGTCAAAGATAGGGGATTTGATTGTCAATGAGGGGTTTTGAGAAGAGTCCACAATTTTCTATTCTTCATGCTGATAGTCGAGTGTATTTTTATTTTGTGAATGCAGTCTTATGCCTTATATAGGGCCCCTTTATGTTATAGTGCCTTCAGCATCAACCCTAAACCCAGAATCAGAAGGAATAAATGTCTGCTTCCAGGTGTCTGGAACTATCTACTTCAAAAACTCATAAATGGTCCTGCAAGGAAAATTATTATTGCCTCTTTCGTTATTTAATAAATGTGGTTGATGTCTTAAAAGAGTTTTCCATTAAAGTGAAATTTTGTTATGTGCCAAAATCTGGGATATAATCTTTAATTCTGTCTAACACTTTGAAATTGAGTACTTTCCCCTGTTATACTGGTGTACTGTTATTTGTTTTTCTGTGATGAAATATTATGACCATGCATATTATAAGTCTTTCCTGAGGGAGATTGTAATGACTTATAAGTGCTTACCTGGTCAATGTACTCATCTGCAGCCAACAATCCAAATACAAAGTGATTATTTTGAAAAGCAATCAAAAGTAACTTAAGCACTTCTTGGGTGCCTTGAGAAAGAAGATAAAAATATCATGAATTATTTTAAGGATTTTAACCACAAATCAGTGAGGAAGCTTGGAATAAACTTCTAATCTCAACATCTCAGATGAAGCAAAATTAAATGTCATAGATATGAAGTTCTAAATTCTTTAGACTTGAATTTATGTACTATTAATTAGATATGGGAGCTGGTTCCTACTGAATTTACTTGCAAAGGATTTCAAAATAAATGAAGTATTTCACTGACAAAACCTCAGTGAAGTAACATTATTGTGTAGCTCTTTCCACTTCTCCTTCCTTTTTGCCTTCCTTTTGGATTGGAATACATAAGAAAAGGATTATAGTAAAGAAAAAAGGTTTTGTAAAATTAAAGTGTATAGAACTTTATAATCTTCTGCAGTGATCCTCATACTGGCTTGAAAGGAACAGAACAGATCCTTCACACCACTAGTGCACTGCTTTGGGACTTCAGTGATCATCACAAGACGTCACATCTGTGAACAGCATTGATGAAACGCCACAAGCATCTAAAACAGAATTTGCTGAAAGTATTTAAAAATAATTTAGGTTATTTTAATTTAATGACAGTTTGACCAAACACAGAGGTCAAGGTTGTAGGCTTCACGGTCATAAAGGATATTTTAGCTATGATACCAGTAGTACTTATTGTTCCTGTTTTCCCATTTAGCCAGCCAGATACTTTTAAATTGAGCTTTCTTAGACTGACTTTTTAAAGCATTGGAATAGTCTTGTGCAATAAAAGTGCGATAAGGAAGGAGCAGGAGGTTTCTGCATGTGTCTGTCTGAACCACCAGGGGGAACTCATTCCTCATCTATAACTTTTCTGCAGCAAGTATCTGAAAAAAACACCGATGCTTGAACCAGGTTTAGAAAGTCAATTCAGCAGAGAGTTTGTCTTCTTTCATATTAAGGAGCTTTATGTAAAGCCTTGTCAATCTGCAGTGCTCTTTCCACACTGCCCATGAGTGCATCAGCCGCCCAACGCATTGAGCAGCAATGCCAGACCAAGTCTGGCCACAGAGGGACCCATGTTCAGCTGGGAAATCTTGTACATCACTGGGGTATGGTAATTTCCACCCCCTGCCCACTTCAGACTGACCTGGGACTTGTGCTAAACCTGCTGGACTGACAGAAGACTCAGCAGAGAGCCTGGCTTGGCTTCTCACAGATTAAACTCCTTCACACCACTGGTCATGGCTTTGTGGCTGAAAGGAATTTTTTTTGGCTGTATCTGTGCAAAAGGTAGCTCTTCTTTCATAGCTGTTTCATTGCTCTTTTGTGACTGTCTCACTACTGCATTTCTTTTTTCCAACTATTACAGACTTCCTGATTTATTTCAATTTCACTGCATGTCTTACTATTTTTAAGCAAAATTTGTCCATCTTGAAACAGAACTGTGTTATTGCTATGATTACAAGGAACTTATATGTTTTATAGCATACTGTTAAACAACAGCAAAAATCTATGTGTGATGTATGTACTCTGGAGATCTGTCAGGAAAGTATATATATATATATATATATATATATATATTCAAAATATAATTTTGAATTCCCACTTAAAAGCCAAATACTGAAAATCTCTTAAAATTTTGAACTCTGTCAGGCCAGTGGGACTCTTCTTGTGGTCTATGGAAAGATTTGGAAATACTAAAGAGAATTCTTTAGCTGCATTACATTTTCAAATTTTTGTCTTATTTTGTAAATTATTTCATGTTGTAGTTAATTATTTGGTACTTACAGGCACCTTTAATTCAAATTTCCCTTTCCTTAATTAATCTAGGAATTACCTCAATCTCTGGGCACAATCACTCATGGTTTTTGTGCACATCATAGCATCAGATGATTGCATTCAGCTCCATTTGAAATACATCATCTAATTGCATTCCTTCAGATGACTGGTGTATTAGTAAAGTACAGTGAGCTTTGTAAGAAGCTCACATGAAAACCATGAGAGGTACTGACTACCATAAAAATAAAAGAATGGACTTGGTTTTCATTAGTTCTGGATTTTTCTTTTCTTTAATATGTGCAGGAAACTCTGTGTTTGAAATTATGCCTTTAGAAATCTTACCCCTGATGAGTCAACTAAACTTGCTGATTACGTGCTTCTGGTAGTCATAATGTCATTTCACTTCCCCATTTCACACAGTTTTCTCTTTAATTTTTCACTCTTGGTTTCAGCTGCATTGTCTGGGGAAAATGTAACAACAAAAGTAGAATTCTTTTTTTTAAACAAAATTTAGTGTGATGATAATTGACAGTGCTACAGTAGGATTAACAAAGATTGCAGAGAATTCGATAAATAGCAGAACTTTCCCCGGAGACATGTGACTGATGATGACTGTGCTGAATTTTCTTCCTCTTTCTCCCAAATGAAGTTTTATACCATCGAATACTGAAAAAAAAAGAAAGTAACTATGTTTGGACTCCTTTTTTTCATTTTATTCACCCCTGGAGTCAGTGAATTCATTTGTACATCATCAGATCTTGAAATGTCATATACTTTCTGTGGTAAGTAAAAAAATAGGTAATCCTTTTGTTAAATTTGCAGGATAGTTTCTGTAGTCTGAGGGATTGTGAATTCTCTTTCAAATTAGTTTCTTTGAGGAATACAGAAAAAGATAAAGAAGTATATTTCTGTTATTAATCACCCTGTTATAAGAAATTTACTTCATAGACATAAATCCTACCGCAATGCTGGTTCCAGAAGCTAGGAGAGAGAGAATTTTATTCTCAAGTAAATTAGGCATGTTTTTGTTCAGGAAATGTAAGAAGATAATGGGTTTAAACTAGTTTCGCAAGTACTCTGTTGTATAAATTATACCTATTGAGTTAACCAGTATGTTACAATCAAAAGCTTGAAGTATGTGGAAAAAAAGAGGGAATGTCATATTCTGTCAGGCTGTGGTACCAATCAGGTTCTGAGGCAGCATGGTGTGTCCCCTCTTGCCCTGTCTGTGTCATGGGCTGATATTTTATGTATTTTAAAAATGCAAGGTGGGTCAGTCACAGAGAAAATCTACTCAAAGGTTCATTTACATTACCTGAAAAATATGCTGGTGCATTAAAAATATTTTTAGTTCTTTTCAGCATGATTAGCATAAGTAGGGATATTTTCAGTAGAAGACCATGCTGGTTTAGTGCTAATAAAAAGTTTGTATATCTTCAAAAGAGAAATAAAGGTACTTTTGTCTCTGTTTTTTGTGTGCAAAATATCATCAACCAAAAATTTACTTCTCTTTGCTTAAAGAAATATGATACTGGTTTTGCCTTCTAAATGTAAAAATAATTAATAATATAATTGAAAACATATTTAATATTTACCACATATATTGTATTGAACAATTTTGTAGAATATAACTTAAATACATTTAAAATATGTATTTGATACATAATAAATGTACAATCAATGATACAAAATATGTATTAAATGCATTTTAAAAATTGTATTTTTGTATGTATAACTGTATATTCTTCTTATTTTTATGGAGAAGCCTATTCACACTATCAATGTGAAATGATTTTTTTCTGTAGATTCTACAGCTCATGCTTTCATGTTTAATCTGACACCTTGCAGCACGATGAACAAATCTGTCTGGAAGGCTGATCTTACCTGGATTCCAAGTGAGTCTGTCTTAACTAGACAATTATATTTTGGGAATGCTGGAAATGAAATACAAGTGAAAAACTGACTCTTCATCCTAAATGCTGTGTTATTTAGGAAATTGGTTTCTGGGGTTAAAAATGGAATGGATAAACTATAGCGATGGAGAGAAATGATGATTTGTGAAAATGTGTTTGAGTTTTACTTGGAGCAGTTACCAGAGCCCTGCACACAGACTGTCACTGTAAATGCAAATCTGTGACACCTTAGGTGTATGTGCATTTTGGTCTTCTGGCCTGGACAAGATCCAAGTCTTTTAAAGGAGAGAGAGTATCATCAGGCCATCCAACTATGGCAGGACTTCTGTGAAGAATATGCATGCTCCAGAAGCTGGAGATGGTACTGGATTTTGTGTGCAAACCTAACTGTGATCTTTAAACCCAGCTTTAAGCCAGCAGCCTCAGCTAATGAAATGTTTAGGACCTGGCTGTGTCATAAACTTCCCCTTCTGCACTAGGTTTGCTTCCCTAGAAGGACATCTTTATGATGCATTCATGACAGTTTCTTTGCAATATCTGCTTAAAACTAAGGTCTTCATTTGAGCACGTGTTTAAGTTAGCTGTGGAGCTGAATGAACTCTGTTTCCTTTACTAAAGAAATTAAAACAGACTTTGAAATTTTTCTCCCAAATATTTTTAAGACTAATTTTTTGTTGTTAAAAACACCAATACCTTTTTTTTTTTTTTTTTTTTTTTTTTTTTTTTTTTTTTTCTGGAAGTAGCAGTTTTCAAGACATATACCTTTTTAATTTTGGGGGAGTCTTACAAAAATACAGTATTTTGGCAAAATCTAGTTTTTATCTAGATAGCATGTCTCCATATACGCTTTCCCTCCCCACCAGTTACCATTTTCTTAGTTGCAATGTTTTAATTAGGAAGTGACATCCACTTTTTGAAGATTGTCTTCAATGTCTGGTATGATGGTGCCAAAGCACTCCTCTGGAAAGAACTCCTCTGCAGCGGAGCTGATGATGAATACTCAGTGTGTGGAACGCTGAAAGGAGGTTGGTGTGAAAATACATGGTGCAATCAACCCATGCAAACAGATTTTTATTTCCACAATCTAGACTTTGCTTGGCAGGCAGCAAACCTCAGGAAGGAGCAGGCAATTCTCCAGTGCCAGAACCCCACTGAAGTAGAAAATATTCAAATTCTTTATTTTAACAACCTTGTACTGCAGTTTCCGTCTCCATAAATGAGAATTACTAATATCCTTCATCTGATGATTACACTTGTTGTGAACGTCTCTAAAATGACAAGGAAAGATTGCATTTGACTGGACTGAACAGGAAACTTGAGAGGCACTGTGGGCTCTACTAATATCCAGAACAAAGTTTATTTAGATATATGTCTGGATGGGTTTTTAAAGAGATTTTATACACCTATGTATGATGCTTTTTTTTTTTTTTTTTTTTTTTTTTTTTCCCAATAGAGAAGAGTTAATCCTTTGGTAGGGGCTAACAAGTATTAACACAATACAGGCTCAGATTCAGAGAATTCAGGTAGGATGCCAGACTAAAGGCCAAAAAAACCTGTAAGGAGGGTAAAATAGTCTGTTTTCCTTTCTTCAAAAATCAGTATCAGCTCTCTTCAGTTACCATTCAAGTGAACTGCTATTACAAGTTAAATTACTGGAGTTATCACAGTAGGATTTGTCTGGAGGAGATGTTGCAGGAGCACTGTGGTTAATTTCTATTTTCTAATGTGGTTTCCACAAAAAGTCAGAGCTCTGAGAGAAGCACCAGATGAGGACTTTATCAGTGAAAGGGTAAATTACATTGGCAACTGCTGCTGAGAGATATGCCATATTGCTTTGAAGTTATTTAGGCAGTCTGATTGATGGCTTTATGTTTAAGTAACTCTTTGTATTATAATTATCTCTGTTTTTCAGAAACACTTGCATCGGCATTTGATATTAAAGGCTCAAGAACAGCATTTCCAAAGGTACTTTTCAACATTTTGTGTAATAGTAAAATCACATACTTACAAGTATATTTTTTTCTGAAGAGAGATGTTCACCCAAATTGTAAAAAAGAGAAGAGGAAATGTCAGAAAACTTTCTTATAGTAGAATTGATAACATTAAAATGGTAGCATCTCTGAAATGATAGATGTTCTAAGGTTATTATTCCTTTATTTTATAAAAGAAAAGATCAAAGTAATCAGTTAATGTCACCTTAATTATTCCATTTTGTTTGGTAAATTATTCTCTTTCCTTTTACCTGTTTGAGTAAACCCATTCATATTCCTTCTTCCCATTTCATTCTTTATTTTACATTCTCTTCACATGCTGCTCTTTTACTCCATGAAACCATTTTCAAAGATTTGAAAAGGGACAACAATATGCAAAAAGTAAAAGCAGTGCTCTGCTGTTAAACCAGGGGCAGCACCAGTCCTCAGGTTAAGCCATTCTCATCCAACAACTGCCTCATCAGTTGTCTGAGCTTCTCCAAGACCCTTATCAATCCTGTTAATCCCTAAAAATGTCACTAAGGAGCTCCTACTGGTCCAAAATCTCCACCATCCCCCTCAGCTCATGGGCCTCCAAGAGTCCAACAGCTCTTGTAGCCCCAGAGCTAGTACTGGACAGGAACATGAGCTGTCGTCCTGTCGATGAAGAACTTGTGGTAGACCTGGCACTTCCTGATGGGACTGTGCTAGACCAGGAAATGCTGTTCCTCAGTAGCCTGGCCATGAGAAGGAAGTTGAACACTTTTATTTTCAGGCGCTCATATACCTGACTATACCTATGAGAACAGTCCCTGATGGGAATCTGTCTTTTTCAGTTCTAACAGAAATCACCGGAACCATTCCAAGAAGCCATTTAGACAAGAGCAGGCAGTATTGTGGACTAATTTTCTTTTTTTTTTTTTTTTTGTCTTGCTTGTTTTAGGGCAATTATACTATTGTTGTGCAAGGATTCTCTGATGATTCTGAGAGTAATATGCTCATATGCTTGAATTTCACCATGATAGTAAAACAAGACACTTTCTGAGGGCAACAAACTTTTCAAGTAATTCCAGAATATGGAGGTCACTTCTGTGGGCAGCTGGAATCCAAGCTGTGGAGTAATATGCACACTGAATTTCCTGAGGCAGAATACATCATGTGCTGTCTGGGAAGCTATAAGATATAGTCTTTCTCATTTGTAGCACAGCCATAATCTGTTGCTCAGCCAATGTGCCCAAAATTTCTGGGAATCAGGCATCCTGATTAATCCACAGAATTACTCTGACTGGATGTCAGGCTCGTCTTGCATTTTGGTGCTGTGCCTTGAGTTACAATAAAGTTCAGTGCTTCAGGCTGAGCTAAAGTAATCAAGAAGTTTTGAAGTTTTGAAGTGCCAGAATCAGAAGTTCATCAGTATTCAATTTAAAATAACACAGCAATTGAATTTGGGAACCCTGCTGTGAGGTGGTGGGGGGTGTTTTTTTGGTTTGTTTGGGTTTTTTTTTTTCCTTTTCTTGTAACAATAAAACTTGTTTGTACAATCAATTTAAGACATGGTTTTTATTCTCCTGTTATTTTCTGATTTTTCTTCAGATGTTTCATATTGTTCTGCTCTGTTTACACCAAGCTGAAACAGAGGAGTAATAATTTGTTATGTGGTAGTAGCTGATGTGGATAAAATCCAAAGTGGAACACTTTTTTTTTCCAGTTACACTGATACAGTGCAGCTGAATTTAGCCATCCAGAGCTGCAAGTGCAATCCCTTAGAATGTTTTTAGCTCTTGCTCAGCATCCGAGGGGCAGATGCTACACAAACTGTGTCCTCCAGAAGAGGGAGTGTGGTGTCACACAACAGGTTGATCTATTCCTCAGTTATTCCTCTAAGGCATTTCTGAAGTTTTCCTGTAGCTTTTGCCCCTTGGGCAGCCAACAGTGAGTACCCACCTGCCCTTTCTGTCGCTCCTCTGCACCCAAGACCTTCAGTCGGATTTTGGTGTAGTAAGTTTGGTCCTTAGGAAAAGTGCTCCTGTTTTCATGCTCAGCCCCCAGACAGCAAGGCTGGTGAACTTAGTGAGTTCAGAGACTTTTCCCCAACTAACAGGACACTGTTGAAGCTGCACGTTGTGCTGGCTACTAGTTCATGCTGTCTAGCAGATTGCTTCCAAATGCCTGGGAAAAATTAAAAGCCAGAACAAATCAACCTCCTTCATACTGCTAAATACCAAACATGCAAATTAGAAGAAGTGAAGCTTTGAATCTCACTTTATACATAAAGAAAGATGTTTTTCAAACTTGGTATCAGAAAACTCAAGGAAAAACTCCACATTAAAGTTTGTAGATATTCCATTTAAAACTTGGTTTTAATCATAGGTAGTTTGGCTAAATAAAGCAAAATTAAGAGTCAGTACAAACAGAAGTGGAACTGCATAATAACTGAAGATAAGAAGCCATGATTACATATAAGTGATGGTGGCAAAGCATCTGTGCTTTCACTCAGTCCACAGACCATTCCAGGATTAGTCCAAGATGGAGTATCACCGCATGTTCTGCTTATGTTTGAGCTGATTTACTACAGTTGTGATCAATTTATTCCTAACCTGAAATACCAATCAAGAAGCAGCCTGAGAGCATGACAAGCAATACTTACCTTTCTTCTTCTGTTTTGCTTATTTCAAATAGTGTCTGTTTCAAATTATTGACCTAAGGAACAGTCTTACCTTATTATGTCCCTGGGTATACATTTCATGGCATGCAGCAACCAGAAGTCTCAAAATCATCTTCAGTGACAAGGTGTCCTGAGGTTTTTTTTTGACTGAATTATTTGGGGTGTTAGAAGAAATATTTTGTTTATTAAGCAGCAAGTAACACAAGTAAGAGAGATTAACACTTCTGGAGATCAAAGACATTCTTGTGCTCTTTTACATAAGCATGTTCTAATGCTTTATGGATGTTACAGAAAATTTACAGTACGTGTAAATGTACAAATAGAATTTCTGTCTCTGAATAGAGACATTTACAGATAAACATATGCACTCAGTATCTTGCCTTGTAGACTTTTTTAATATAGATCTCCAGCTGAAGGGTTATAATTGTACATGCCAGCAGATAGGGCAGCAAGGCAGAGCACAGGAGCCAAGCCACACTTTATAAAGCAAAGACTTTTCAAAGGCCTCAAGTTTTTTACTTTTATGAATGGAAATTTCCTCTTATTCCAGTGCTGGTGACCGCCACACCACATTCTCCCCTGGACAAGAAGATAGAGATTTTGTAAAATGTTAGATCATGCAAACAGCTTACCCTGAAATTGCTGTGATACTGTAGGGTGAAGGGCTGAGCTGAAGGCAAAGCTTTGCTCTTCATGTCTGGTTCCTGGGACAGAGTTCTTAAAAAGTTTTCCTTCCTTCTGCTGTCCAGAGCTGACAACAGTTATCACTTATTTCCTTTCCAAACTTCCCTGAGCCCATATTCAGGGCTCCACAGCAAAGAGGAGTTTCCTTAGGATGAAATGAGCTACTTGGGCTCTGTGAAGACTGATCTGAATGTTTCCCTTTTCTTCACTTTATTGCTCCAGTAAACTTCGATCCATTTTTAGCTTCTTCATTTTCTGTCTCTGTCTAGAGTTGGAATGGTGTTAACACAGTGAAATAAAACAAAGAATTTCTTTCTTAAAACATTCTGTGAGAGCTACATGCCCTGAGATCCTTGTATTTTGCCAGGAGTTCCAGTGAAATGTGCAAAGCCTCCTCCCATGCAAATAAAAGTAAACCAAGGAAGGTTTTGTGTTTGGCATATTTATGTGAAATTAAAATCTAAAGCCTTCACAAAATACCTCTTTTTCTCTCCCTCATTACTGTTGTTTTTAAGAGGCTGTCAGGATTTTCTGCAGATGGGAAAAGAGCTTTTCTTCACCCCCTCACCCTCTGTTGCCAAATATGTAATTATGAGAAGAAGCAGTTCCTGTGCAATGTGGTTTCCAATAAGACTGCACACTTTGAGCTGTGTTATTACAGTTTTATTTGATAAAAACCATAAAGTATTCATAATTTCAAGTGAGTGAAAGCCTGCTGACCACAATAACATGTACATTTGTTGGCTGAAATTGTAACATCATTTGAGATAGATGCACAAAGATAATTCCATGTAATTCAGGAATTACAGCAGCATCTCTTGTGTCCAGGGAAGCAATTCCCTTGGTCACCACTTAGCTTGGATGACACAAAGCACAGACACTCAGATGGGATAAATAAACTACATGGTCCCTGCAGCAAGAAGGAGTTGGATTTAATGATGCAGGAGGTGTGTCCTGGTCTCTCTTACAGGCATCAAAGGAAAACCATAGCAGCATAAATCCCTTCTGCATAACATTTTTTTCTTGGTAAAAAGTGCTAGTAATTGCCTTGGAAGGGTGTGTGTAGCACATTATGCTGAATGACTCCAGCTCCTTCATTCTGCCCGTGAGTCCCTGCCAGCACGAGTGAGCTCAGGGGCAGCAGATGGGGTAGTGACATTTCTAATGGGAAGAGATAGGAAGGAGGGAGGGAAGGGAGGGGGCTCCTGCCTGCAGAGCTTAGGGGAGAGAGGACAGGAGAAAGCAAATTTGGAAAGTCTTCTTGCTGTCAATAGAAATTACTGGACTCTGGAAATTTTGGATAATAGTCACTGTGCACACGTACTTGTTTTGTGGATCCCAGGCACCCTTGTAGATCCCTTGGCTGCAGTAGATGGGTATGTCCATAACCTCTTTTCTTCAAAGATACATTTTATTACTGGCAAAAAGAGAAATATATGTATATAAAATGCATGTATTTAATATATATGCATACATATGCATGCATATATTTGGCCAGGTATAACAGCTTCCCAAAGATTCTGTATAGGAAAAAAACAAACAAAAGAAAAACCCACAACATATTTTTTCCTTGAGCTTTAGCTGTCTTAAAAAACTGCTGTCTTAGCTATGAGTATTGTGTTTTTAAATTCAAAGTTCTTGCTAAAATAATTTCTTGCTGACATAACTAAAAGCAAACCTTTAATAGTGAGCCTGGCTGTTTGCACACAGGAGGGAACAGTCACTGTACTAAGTATTTCTGTACTAAGATTTCTGTCTGCCCATTTCCCTGTGCTGCACAAAACCTTTGAGAGCTACAGAGTAGATTGTATTTTTTTTCTTAACTTGTAACTTCTGCCAACTGCACACATCCACTGAATCTTTTTTTCTCTGAGAAGTTTGGCATCTTTGCTGAAGTATCTCCAAACTGATTATGGGGTTGGTTTAGTTCTTAAACATGTTCTGTTCAGTCACATTCCCTTTAGACTTTTCACTGTATTACCCACAATTTTTTTTATTTTTAGCATACCAGTGCAGTTTAACAATTTCAGTAATATAAATTAAAAAAGAACCCAAAAGCAAAAAACCAAAAGAAATGTCATACAATAAATAAAGACAAACACAGAAAACAAAATAATAGCTTTAGTCTTCTGAAAGCAATATAATAGAAATTTCAATCCTTCACTTACAAGATTCCTAAAGGAGGAAATAATAAAAAACATTGTGCATATGAGAGTGAACAGTTGTCCACTATGACTGTGAATTAATTTGACCCTGTTTTAGAATTACATGACTTCATTTCACATCTGAATATCAGCTGAACAGAGTGGTAGTTATCTTTTTTAATCATTTATCACACTGAAGTGGTGTGCTCCATGTCAGTGGATATTGCAGGTAGTGGAATTTTCCCAGTATCTTTAAAGCATTAAAGATACTTTCATTACACAGATGTAACATAGACAGAACAATGAACATCATTAATGAAAGTTTCACAGATGACTGCCAGAAAACAGGCTGTCAGCAGGAGTATTCCTTTCTGATTCCCCAAGCTACGTTCCAGTGATTCTGACTGCTAATTGTATAGTTTCTCTAACCTGTGAAAGTTTTTGTGATTTTAATATTCTAATTAAGGAGGAAAAGAGGCCCTAAAAAAAAAATCTAAACTAATATGTTATCTGGAACAACCTAAAATATTAAAACAAAGAAACAATATTGTCAGATGAGTAGTAGGGGGAAAAAGTGGCTGTGGGAAAGAAATAATTTTGCTTACTGTAGAATGTTATGTATTTATTTTCACCAAATAATTTTACAAAAAGAAGGTTTAAATTCCTTTAAATCTGAGACACTTCAGCAAATAAGAACTATTTTTCTGCTTTTTTTTTTTGACAAATAAGTATTATTCAAGCAAAGATTATTGTGCCACATAATCACTGTGGTTTTGCTGATAAGCCAGGACTTGAGCTGTGATGGTTGTACTCATGTTGGTGTCTACTTGACAGCCTGACTTGTCCTTTGGGCACAGGTGTACACCCCACTTCTAAATGACTTTATATATCTTTTTCTGGAATTGATGAGCAAAGGGCAACATTACAATTTTGCAAAGATACAACAGGAAGGAAATTGTCAGGGGTAGCAGATCAAATCATGTATTTTAACTTTGTAAATCATCATTTTCTTTTAGTACTTCTGGTTTTA